CTCTCTCTCTCTCTCTCTATATATATATATATATATATAAGAAAATAAGACATTTACATATATATATATATGTAAATAAACTGTATATATTGTATGTCTACCTTGAGTGTGGAGGTGCTTATCAAGTCATAATATCAAGTCATGCTTAATTCGGCAAACTAACTCGAGACAGAGTTTGGGGAGGAAACTTCACTAGGGGATAGCAAAGCTCATCCACAGATATGAAAAATGCCTCAATATTCACGGGGATTATGTTGCAAAGAAAACATGTTTGTTCCTAACTTTTGGTAATAAATTCATATCGTTACTTACACTTATCTTTGTTTTATGGACCATCGGATGTTGAAAAAAATGGCCTTCGTATAAATAACTTATTCGTTGGAACTTGCGTTTGGTTGGAAGAATTAGTGTGGCATTCTAAGTAATACCGATTTAGAGACATCATTTCCAAAAAAAAATAAATGTGTAAAGTTTCTTGTTCTTGGCCAGTATTTTTTTACGTGTGGCACTAATAAACATAAGGAAAAAATGGCATTATCTGCTCCATGATTGTGTTCCTCTATGATAAAATGTAATTAGAGAAATTTAATTTATTACCGGTATATGGAACTGAAAAAACAAATACCGTCCACATCACACCAAATGCTTCCTTTCTCAGTGATTTGTTGAATGAAAGTAATGCTTTTTCTTTAATGCAGAAAGTATTATACGTTTCATGCACTGTTGTTTAGATATTGCCGTTTGTAAGTAAACGATAGAACGAAAATACTGCTGGACGAAAATTCATTTTTGTTATAACCCCACTGATTCGGATTGAAAGTAGATGCATCTTCGATTCAAACGAAAGTCCATGCAATCCACTGGATCCTGTACTAGATCGATTGGGAATAATATGTCCCATGCCAAACATTTCCTTGTCAGACAAATGGATTCGGAGGAAGATAAAATAGTATTCTCGTCATCCGATAGAACATCTGAAAAATTTCTTCGATGTCTGCCTCCTCTTCCAGACACAAAAATTTGGCCATACCGATGAAGATGTAGAAATGAAGAAAAGAGATTCCAAAAAAAAAATAAATATGAATCACAGATGACTTGAAGAGGTTAAAATATATACAGTAGAGCGTCGATTATCTGAATCAATTGGGGACTGGGGTTGTTCGGATAACTGATATTTCGTATAACCGATTATCCACGAAAAAATAGTTTAACGTATCCGATATTGAAATTTTTATCCGTTGCATGTCGCTTCGCGTTGAATTTTCGTCGATGTTAAGCCTAACAAAGACTATTGTATCGTTAAAAATTATTTTTTTATTTTGTACAAACAAAATAAATTTATTGAAAAATATAAAAACAATAAAAAATTATACTTCAGATGTTAATTTAGTATCAAAAACGTAAAATATTTGAGTAGCCCGAGAAATAGCCGAAGATTACAGCACCACAGCACTAGCGAAAATTTAAATTTGCCGACTGGAATGCTTTCAGATAACGGACGTTTCGGATAACCAGCTTTTGGATAAACGACGCTCTACTGTAATTATACCAGAACACAATGATGCCGCCCAGAAGCAAACCAACTAGCTTTTTAGCCTGTGCACCTCAAGGGCCAAAAAGCTAGTTTTGAATAATCATTTAGTTCTTTTATTAACTTTTTATATAATACATTTATATAATGTGTTAAATAAAAGATATTGTTTAAGGTGCTTTTCAACATGGCTACAAAAAAAAACCTAAGCAAAACAATAGATGAACATTGTGTCTTTAAAACTGAATGGACTTAATCTGTCACATTTATCTTGAACTCAATTGGCCTGCCAATTTGTCTTATTTGCCAAGAAAAGCTGGTGCACAACAGAAAGTCAAATTTGGAGACACACTTCACAACAAAACATGCCACATTTGCCATAAAGTATCCTGTCAGTGACATGAGAAAAAGATCAGTTGAAGAACTTCAGAAAAATATTAAAAAATCAAGTTCTGTATTTCATTACTGGAGACAGTCTGCAATATTAATTAAATTCTTTCTGATTGATTATCTCTTTACATTTAATGATTACATGTTTAGCATTTACACAGGGTTTAGGATGTTTCGGTGAGGCAAGATTAAAGTGTTAAAGAGTGATTTAACACATTAAGCACTACAATAGAAGGGCATAAAATATCACAACACTCAGTTGGCAATACTCCTTTTTATGGACAAAATAGCACAAATATGATGGCTATTTAATATAACTTTGCCTGCATTGTTAAACATTTTCTAAATTTTTAGCTGTGTTGCAACATGTGGCCTGAATGATTTTTTTTATCACATTAAGCCATCTTTTATGCTAATCAGGTTTTAAATTCAACAGAACTACTACCATGTTCAAGCTGCATAAATGGGCCAATACAAATCAAAGAGAAAAAGAATAATCACTAAAATAATATACCTACTATTTTTTTACTGTTTATGTTCATTGAAAAAAATAAAAATTGTTTCTTGAATATTTGTTTTTGTTATGTATTTACATGATATTGTATTTATTCACATTCATTGTGCAAGAAAAACTTTAGAAAATATAAATTTCGCTTATATTTCATATTGTATATGGAATAAAATTAAATTTCTATTATTATTCTATCGTAAAAAAAAATTTAATGAGCCAATAAAATTTCCAATCCTACAGGCCAAGCTCTAACTATTTCCATTATGTTTTTATGGCTAGCATGTTGCTCTAAAGTAACATAGCACAGATTTCATTGTATAGTGTGTGTGACATTTCTGGAACATACACTATACATTCACAGCCTGGATGAATTCTTAGGTGTGTTGCAAATATGCAACACTTAAATTTAATTAAAAAATACTTGGAATTTTCAATTTCATCTTTAGAAAAACATCAAAAATAAATTAAATAATCTTTAAAATTTGTATTTTTTTAAAATTTATAATAAACTAAACGGGTGTGAAACTTTTAAACTAACATAAATTTAGGCTAAATATTAGTTTCGTAAGTAATTTGATTAAATTATGTCACTTAACAGAATTGAGGAACATTTAATCTACATTTTAATTTTAATATAAATCTACATATCAAATTTTTTTAATAAATGTAAAAAATGTGTAAATTTTTAATTTTAATAAATAAATAAATAAAATGCATCTATGTATATCATTTTTTCCAACATATTTGTGATATATATAATTCTAAGAGAATAAAATTTTTAAATAAATAATTATTATATTTTAGAAAGTATCAAACCTTGTTTTGATTGAGTTTGCTGAAAAGCCCCAAAACCAGACTGAGCTACACTTCCAGTATTTGAAGTAAAACTTCCTCCAGTGGAAGAACCAAATTTTGTCCCAAAACTTGAAGCTCCTTGATTGCCAAATAGATCTGTGAATAGAATAATTATTATTGGTATGGAATTTAATCCAATTTGTAAACATAATCATGATTAAATTTCGACAATTATTCAACTAACTAGTCTTTTGTCCATCATTTTCCATTGATGAAACGTTACCACCAAATACATTTTTTGATGCATTTACTGGGATTGGTTTATTACCGAATCCGTAGAAAAAAGAAGACTGTCCAAGTAAGTTTCCGTCATTTTGTTGTCCAAAGGGTGAGCTAAAAATTTTAATACGTTAATAAAAAAAATTTTGAAAATGTTTATAATAATTTAATACCAAATTAATAAAATTACCTTGTTGTTTGCCCAAAAGAAAATACAGAAGATCCAGTAGTTGTGGTATTACCAAAGACAGATCCTTCATTTGATGTCGTAGGTGATGATAAACCAAATACTGGAGACTGACTGAATACTTGAGATTGACCAAAACTTGAATTAGTAGTTGAAGATATACCAAAGCCATTATTATTAAAAACTGTTTGTCCAAATATAGGGGAAGCTTGTTTGTTAAATGTATCGACTGTCTGTGCTTGTTGACCAAACACATTAACTGGTATTTCTTTGCCAAATGTAGATGTGTCACTTGTACTTTTCTGTTCAGCAGGAGGAGAAGCAGCAGTAGTAGTAGTTGTGTTAGTAGTAGTCATGCTTGCAGTAATGGTGGTAGTAGAAGTAGTAGTAGTAGCAACAGTAGAAGCAGCAATTGTTGTTAATGAAAATGGACTTTGACTTGCACTAGTTATTATGGTTTCAGAAGTTGATGTTACTTTAGGGGATGAATTAAATATTGGTGTTTGAGTTTGTTCAGAATCACTCTGAGTTGTGATAGCTGCAGAAACAGTAACAACTTTTGAGCCAAATAGTGAAGTAGCAGTTGTTGGTGTGTTAAATGGTAATTTGAAACCAGTAGATAATGTTTTAGCTGTTGAAGTAGGTTTTTGAGTCTGTTCATCATCATCCTTTAATAATATAGCAAAATAAATAAATAAAAGACTTTATTAGATTTTTAATATAATCAAAACTAAACAGAGCTTATTTATAAATAGAATTATATATTTAATTTAAAATTAAGTATAAAGTAAGTCTGTTAATAGTTTTATATATTAAGAAATCCATTTTCTAAAGTATGTAGTTAAACTTATGCAGAGTTAAAGATATTCTTATTCATTCAGAAAAACAAAAGTTGCTGGAAATGTATGCAAAATGACATTTTGTCAATTCAAAAAACGAAAAAAAAAAAAAATACTATTGTATTTTAAAGAAAAATAATTAAGCAAAAAGTATGGTTACTAAATATTTTCAAGCTTCTGAATAAGAGAGTAAACTAAAACTAAATAAATTAAATACCATTGCTACATGTAATGGAAAAAATATGATAATTAAATTCATAATAATATACTAATAAAATAATAATATCAAATTAATAGAAAGAAATGACAAAAATATAAAGTATTAAAATTGTTTAATTTTAAATTTATGAAGTGAATGTTTTATTTTCTGTCATTTCTATTGTTTTTATATTTATTTTTGGCCACTATGGTTATTTTCCTTTATTATTTTTCTATTTTGTATTAATGTCAGAATGGTATTTGTTTAGCAATAGTGATGCAGCAATGATGTGTTTCTTTTTCTCCAGAAGCCTGAAGATGGTTTTCATAACAAAAAATGTTTGCTTCAAATTTTAGTTTTTGGTGCATTGTTTGAAATTTATGTCTGTTTATGTGTAAGTTTAAATGTATTTTTTTATAGCAATTATTTAAATTTATATCTTTACAACTGAATGCTGATATTTCTTTTGATTTTTTTCACTATCAGATATCATTTTTGATTTTTACTTAGTATGAGAACTGATTCAAAAACAAAAATGTTTGACTTCATGATATTTCCACTTTATTGGAGAAATTTAAATTTCATATTTAGATATTGTGAATCACATGTATTACTTATTATAAATATAACACAATTCAAGTACTTTCACGTAGCATAAAAGAAATGACGCAATAGTAAACACAATCATTTTCTGTCATTAAAACATTTTAAATACAGTGGAACCTGGTTAACTTAAATTTGTCAGGGGAAAAACTTGGACTTCACATTAAAAAGTTTCAATTATGGACGTTTGGCTAAAAATCAAGATTTTGTGCATTCGTTTATTGGTGTCCAATAAATTATCCATAGGATTATTCCCTGGGTCTTATTACATAGAATTATTGTGTCAATGTAGACCTCTCAATGTTGTCCAGAAACTTGAAAATGCTCAACTGAATGGTTAAATAAGTTAATGAGAAATGCTTTCCTGAATGGTTAATCTGTTCACACCCAAGAGTTTAGTAAGGATTTTTTTTTAATTTCAATATTTTACATGCTAGAATCTACTTGTTTTTTATTTTTTTATCACAAACATATCACTCTCTATGAACACTGTTTTTAACATTTTGCTGTAAATATTAACATTTTTACACAAAATTAAATTTTAATCATTGTTTCAATTAATTTATCAAAAATCCATTTATTACATCAGCTAGTCAGTAAAATCCATCGGCAATGAAATAAAATAAAGTTTGAAAAAAATTAGGTTCAAATGACGGTTACAGTATTGACATCTACACACTGTCTGGAAGTCACCATCGCTGCCTGCTGTCACATGACATGAGATTTATTTTTACTCATACATGGTTCCCATGCTTTACTGAAAGTTTATAATTAGTTTATTCAATAGATGAACATTAATTATCTTATTTAAATTAAGATTCTTGAAAGTTTATGAAAATATTGTAGAGGAGAAGGTGGTATTATGGAACACTGCGGGTATTATGGAACCACCCCATTTCGAACTAATAAAGGCAAACTGTAGTGGAATGTGGCTGAACTGAACTAGGCAGACATCCATAGCAAGGGGAAAACCCGTTTTACTTCAGTTAAACAGTTGTCCGTATTTAATCAGCAAATTTGTTTTTTTTTTTTTTCAAAATTCGCAAGTTTTGAATGCTAAGTGAATTTAATTATTTTTAAAATATAAATTGTGTAGTTGTAGGTTCACTGGTGCATGTATTCCGTTCCAGAGACTTAGGGGTACATAGTAATCTGTGTGATTTTCACGTTTTTTAAAGTTTGGTGCTGACAGGAATTAAGTTAACCCAAGATGGAGATGCGTGAAATATGGACCCCATTGGTGCTTTTAATATAGAACCCAACTCCCCTGTGTTCAGTATTTCCAACAAATTCAAACCATAAAATAATGTTTTTACGTTTTATTTTATTTATGAAAACATTTTTTAAATTTAAAATACNCAATATCAACCAACTGAATAAATAGTGAATAATTGAAAAAAAATATCGTCTGCTTACAAAATAGCGAAACTGAGCATGTGCGAAGTGACAGTATCGTCTGGTAAAGTAAATAGTCTACAAGTAAGTTCAAACTTTTATGTTTATTTATTTGAAAAATAACAATAAATGTAGCAGTTGTGATAAATGGGCACACTGTTCTTGTGCCAATATTGAAGAAAGCAATAGTTTAACCATTTTAATTTGTCCTTCTTGTAGTCTATAGTCTATAAAAATATCCCCATCTTACCTCATAGGTGGGGTAAGATGGTGCATTTACATACAGACTAATTTTAAAAAATTAAATTTTGTAGACTATTAGTCTATATTTTACCAAATGTTATTGCTGAGAATAAAAAAATTAGACTATTTTTCTCATTAAAGTAGTTGCCATCTTATGACTTTTCAAACCTTAACGTCCTCATCCTGCCCCACCTTTCCCTAAATCTAGCTAAATTCTGAAGTTAGTTTGGTTAAAAAAATTGTTTTGGATAGATAAAAGTGTTTTTTCAAACTGATTTTTTTTAAATTTATTTATTTTTAATTTTCAGATGCCTAGAACCCAACTGAACAAGAATAACCTTAAGAGACAAACATGGAGCCAGGAAAAAATGGCAGAGGCAATGAGTGTGGTTAGGGAAAAGAAAATGGGGCTGAAAAAAGCTGCAAAATTTTACGAGGTGCCAAAAACAACTTTACGAACTCTCTCTTTGCAAGCAGATATTTGTCCGGAGCAATTTGTAAAAAAAACACTAGGTAGAAAGCCAATTCTTCCTGAGAATATCGAAAAAGAGCTGGTGGAATACATATTGTTGATGGAGGTCATATTTTTCTATTATAAAAGCATTTTTGCAATAAAATACATTGGAGTAAATGATTTTGTAATTATTTAACATTTTTTGAACTTTCCTATTTGTTTTTGGATACATTAAAGCATTTTTTGAAAATATACAGTAAGATTCCATATTACCACCCGATTTTCTCTAAGCCTAGTTTCTGACTTTTTGTACAAAAGTCTTCAAAAACCATACTTATAGTTACACTAGCGAAAAATCCAATTTGGAACATATAGTTTAATAGTTACCAGTACTTTTCGCACAAAAAATGTGGGTGTAGTTATGATACCTTGTTTACAATTCACTAAAATGTAATTGGGGTTCCATAATACCACCTTCTCCTCTATTAAAACCCTGTTCAAGTTAAACAGTTCAAGGAATTTGAATTAACCAGTTTGATTTAACATGTAAATCTCTATGCTAGATGATCCAGGAAAGCAAGTGACCGAGTTATCCAGGTTCAAATTAACCAGGTTCTACTGTTTCAAAATTTAACAATTTTATGAAATATTCTATTATAAGTAGAAACTTTTATGTGGATAAATTTAATATAAATAAAATTAAACTACAAGATTAATTTTAATGGAAATACAAAATGTAATACATTCAATCCTTCATATTTGCAGATTTTTACAAGATTTTCTTTTATCATAGTTTGTTCTCAGAAAACCAAATAATAAAATTAATTACTTATTTATTTTTAATCACATCTACAAAATCTTTCAATTGCATGCATATTATTTGATTATGAGAATATGCTTGACACAAACATTTTCCTGTCTAAATTTTAACAAAGGTAAGAACAATAAATTTTTTAAAATTTAACTTTTTTTTCTTCTAGATTTAATTTCTGCATTTAATTATAATTTAAGTAAAGATTTATTATGTTACTTCTGCTAAATTTTTAAAGTTTTACTGATTATAAGGATTAACAATAAATTATTTACAGAAATTTTATATTTATGATAAGATAATAGACAAAATCCTTATGAACATAAAAGCTTGAGTGTGTAATAAAAAAATCTGTAAATAAACTATTGAGTTTATTACATATATTCCAATGTCAAAAGATTCACACGGAAAAAAAATTATTATTATTATTAAAATAATCAATCAATTATTACAATATTATTAGTAAGAATAAGCATTCAATATTAAAATAATTGAAAATGTATAGATTATTAGCATTTTTGATCCAATGCCATGTGTAATATAGGATCAGCTAAAACCTGTGTATAGTATTTAACAGATTTATTTCTTGTTAGTTTTTATACAGATGCCCATTTCTCATACTTATAAAATCTCTAGAATAGCTAAGACTATTCATTTTGAATGCTATTGTGTACACAGCAATAATTTATTTTTGCATATTTTTGTTTACTCTGCTGTCATTGTTTAATTTGTATGCTGCCTTCATTTTATACATCAATTTCAGATCATAAATCAATATTTTTATATATGAAAACTGTCATTTTTCTCACAGACAGGTCAGAAGTTATAATTAAACTATTTTTTTAAATAGTAAACTGGAGACTGAGTACATCAATAAAAATATAAATTTACTGTTGAGATATTTAAATTTCATCTTCTCATAAGTCTTTTTTCATTTTCAATTTTTTCCCACCCTATAGGTACAATGTTATCATGAGAATGATCAGGAGGTGAGTGATATGATCCAATATATCCTTGTTAATCCATTGATAAAGATTGGAGGAGTTGTGTATATATATATAAATTATTTTTAATCATTTGCTTAGATTTTATATTTTTAGTTTTATAATACTTTCAAAATATTTTTGTTATCAAAATATGAGTTTCATATAATGTGGTGAAAAACATTGCAAAAATTCAATATTTTCAAATTAATTCAAAGCTTATATAAGTCGTTTAATAAAAATACACATAATTTATACCAAACTAAAAATAATAAAACAAACTTTCAATTATATAAAGAAGTTAATTATTTGTTTTTCATTCTCTTACATCATGATTATCATGAAAAATGAAAAACTACAGGTTCCAAGTAAACACCATAGTAAACAATGGAAAGATTTAAAGTATTAAATACAATTAATAATCTTCTAACTTAGATATTAGCAGAAAGTAAGTAAATTTAAATTATTTAAATGTATCTAGAAAAACAAAGAAATAATTTAAAATCTGAACTTTCAAATCTAGCTTATTAGTCAAATATGTTGATCATATTATTTAAATATTCAAAGTTAGAATATTTTCAGATTTATAATAAATTTGACTAACCATTAATAGTGTGAATAGATGGCAATACCTCTTTATTAATGATTAGATTTATTTCACATTAAAATTTCTAAACACAATAACTGTAATAATGCATAATTTATTCCCTTAAAAGTATTGCTATATTTATATTCTATTTAAAACAATTATTTTTAATTTATTAATTGGGAAAAATTTCATATATTTTGAATTTATCTCACCAATGAAAATTTAAAAGTTGATGTAGATGATACACTTGTTATGGAGGTTGATTTATTACTGGTTGCAGTAATTGCTGGAGTAATTGAGATACTGGAAGGTAATTTATTTTCTATATTGGAAGTTGAAGTCGGAAATGTGAAAACTGATGATGACACTTGGGCTATTTTTTCTGGATCTACAATTATAACTGATGAGTCTTCTGGTATTTCTTCTATCAAAACAAATTTTATTTTAAAACTTTAATCCAATTTATATATTAAAAAATTATGTATGAAGTCTCAAATTTACATTGTTATAAAAATTTATAATAGAATTAATAAATTTGTGAGTAATTTACAAGTTTTCAAATTTGTATAAAAATGAAAAATTTTGTAAATTAAAATGTATTTCATTTAATGAAGAAACCTTCAATGTTTGAAAGGGGAAAGCACTTAATAAATTTTACTTTAATCTGTATCAACTTTTTGGTGCATTGTTTTAACATTACTTATTGATAAAATAAAGTGGAAAATGATTTTCTTTATTATTGTAAAAACCATAAATATGAAAGACTTTTTATCAAAACAATCTTTTTTCTTAACTAGTTATCCAGAAACCTATCTCTCTTCTTTAGATTATTTTCATCTTTTTCTTGTCATTACAAACAATAATATTAATTGCAATAATTAGAACTTCACCAGAAAGTTTCAGTAAAAATTCTAACATTATAAATCAATTTAAACTCATTCTAAAAAATTAAATTGCTAAACTAATTTGTGTTAATGAAAATGTATCATCAAATCAATTCTTTTGGAACTAAGAATTGAATTATAAAATTTATAATCATTTGAGTTTGTATTATAGATTTTTGAAGAGTAAAATGGAATTTTCTCTATGCTGTTTGCATAATTCTGATATATTTATTGAGAACAAATATTGCATGTGTTGTCAAGTTTTAACCATTTTTATTTTGATTTTATAATTAGACAACAGACGCTAAATTTTTAAAGTTTTACTGATTATAAGGATTAACAATAAATTATTTACAGAAATTTTATATTTATGATAAGATAATAGACAAAATCCTTATGAACATAAAAGCTTGAGTGTGTAATAAAAAAATCTGTAAATAAACTATTGAGTTTATTACATATATTCCAATGTCAAAAGATTCACACGGAAAAAAAATTATTATTATTATTAAAATAATCAATCAATTATTACAATATTATTAGTAAGAATAAGCATTCAATATTAAAATAATTGAAAATGTATAGATTATTAGCATTTTTGATCCAATGCCATGTGTAATATAGGATCAGCTAAAACCTGTGTATAGTATTTAACAGATTTATTTCTTGTTAGTTTTTATACAGATGCCCATTTCTCATACTTATAAAATCTCTAGAATAGCTAAGACTATTCATTTTGAATGCTATTGTGTACACAGCAATAATTTATTTTTGCATATTTTTGTTTACTCTGCTGTCATTGTTTAATTTGTATGCTGCCTTCATTTTATACATCAATTTCAGATCATAAATCAATATTTTTATATATGAAAACTGTCATTTTTCTCACAGACAGGTCAGAAGTTATAATTAAACTATTTTTTTAAATAGTAAACTGGAGACTGAGTACATCAATAAAAATATAAATTTACTGTTGAGATATTTAAATTTCATCTTCTCATAAGTCTTTTTTCATTTTCAATTTTTTCCCACCCTATAGGTACAATGTTATCATGAGAATGATCAGGAGGTGAGTGATATGATCCAATATATCCTTGTTAATCCATTGATAAAGATTGGAGGAGTTGTGTATATATATATAAATTATTTTTAATCATTTGCTTAGATTTTATATTTTTAGTTTTATAATACTTTCAAAATATTTTTGTTATCAAAATATGAGTTTCATATAATGTGGTGAAAAACATTGCAAAAATTCAATATTTTCAAATTAATTCAAAGCTTATATAAGTCGTTTAATAAAAATACACATAATTTATACCAAACTAAAAATAATAAAACAAACTTTCAATTATATAAAGAAGTTAATTATTTGTTTTTCATTCTCTTACATCATGATTATCATGAAAAATGAAAAACTACAGGTTCCAAGTAAACACCATAGTAAACAATGGAAAGATTTAAAGTATTAAATACAATTAATAATCTTCTAACTTAGATATTAGCAGAAAGTAAGTAAATTTAAATTATTTAAATGTATCTAGAAAAACAAAGAAATAATTTAAAATCTGAACTTTCAAATCTAGCTTATTAGTCAAATATGTTGATCATATTATTTAAATATTCAAAGTTAGAATATTTTCAGATTTATAATAAATTTGACTAACCATTAATAGTGTGAATAGATGGCAATACCTCTTTATTAATGATTAGATTTATTTCACATTAAAATTTCTAAACACAATAACTGTAATAATGCATAATTTATTCCCTTAAAAGTATTGCTATATTTATATTCTATTTAAAACAATTATTTTTAATTTATTAATTGGGAAAAATTTCATATATTTTGAATTTATCTCACCAATGAAAATTTAAAAGTTGATGTAGATGATACACTTGTTATGGAGGTTGATTTATTACTGGTTGCAGTAATTGCTGGAGTAATTGAGATACTGGAAGGTAATTTATTTTCTATATTGGAAGTTGAAGTCGGAAATGTGAAAACTGATGATGACACTTGGGCTATTTTTTCTGGATCTACANCAAATAACCCCAGTCCCCAATTGATTCGGATAAACGATGCTCTACTGTATTATAATTTTATTTTAGATAACTATTATACAATCCATTCTTATTTATTTCTAGCCTTTAAGTAGTTTATAACAATGTTATTCAATGAAGTATTAATTAATTTTTGTTGCTAATGTAGTTGAAAATGTAACATAAGTCATAGAAAGTATTGTTGATTGGTATAATCATCTCAACAACTGTTTCAGAGAAGAAGATTAAAAAATATTTTTTAACTTAATAATTAGTTACTTTTATGACACCAATTTAAGAATTTAAAATTTGAGGATTAAAAGGTTTTTTGCAAATAATATTGTGAATATTCTTTTCGGATGTATTTAACAGATAATTACATGATTATCTATAAATTATTCAACTGCTAGGGAAATATAACAAGTTGTGATAAATCTATTTTGATTTTGTATATTTTATACAAAAGGACATTACTTATGCTGCAAAATTTCAGGGCTGTTTTCCACTCACAGCACTAAAGAATGATAGAAACAAACAGGACCATAGTAAGATGGTTAATGAATAGGATTAAAAAACATAAGTACATCATACAAAAAGAAATACTGTCAAAGACACTTGTTGGGTATACTTTGGAGGAGACTGTATCTGTAAAATGGGATGAAGCAAAAATTATCAGATCTTTAAGGGAGAAACTCAACCTAAAGTATATTGAAGCTTTAAAGATTTTTAAATCAACACAAAGGAAATTCAGTGAACTGTAAGGAAGAGGGTAACATATAGGGTTCCTATGCACCTGGAAAGTCATGGATTTTCATTAGTGTTCAGAAAAAGTCATGTAAAGCCAGGGAATTTGTTAAAAACTATCAAAGTCAGGAAATCTGTCTGTTTAACTGCCTTGTTTATTTCATTTGCAGAATATGGCTGACGAAGTCTAGTCATCTGCAGACAGCAAGAAGTAATGCTGCAACCTTTATTACGAATATAACAGAATCTGCTTTTCTATAAAAACATTTTTAGTATTAGAGGACACCACTAGATGTACAAATATGTCTTTATTAAAATTTTTGAGTATTTCTTATGTGCATAACTGCTTTCCTTATCTGATATCATTGAAACCATCTTCCAAAAACATTGAAAATTTTTCTGGGGCGCTTAGTGCTGATCCTTGCACAATCGCATATAATGAATTAATTTTAGTTTTGTGTGTATAATAAGTCTTACTTATTGTTCTATTGTATTGTAAGAATATATTTTAAAATCACTCAAAATCAGAACTTTAAATCATGTCAAATTGTTTAATTTTAAAAAAATTCTGTTTTAATGTTTTGACAGTTAATACAAAAATTTACTTTTACTGACAGTTGCAGGTCACTTTTAAAACTAACATTAATTATTTATGTAAAAAATTATTATAAAATGCAACACTGAGGCAAGCATTGCTAAACTCTGGGGATCAAACAGTCCCTAATATAATATACTACCAGATCAATTAGCATTTTAAAATTTTAAACATTTAGATTTTAAAAACACTTTATCATGAATTTGAGAGAATAATCTGCAATACACTTGATAATGTTATATTGATTTAAAAATTATCCAAAATATTTTAATAATTCAGCAATTATAAAAAGATGAAATTGTTAAATTAGAATAAAAAAAAACAGCTAATTAAAAATTTGTTCAAAAACTTTTAAAAGTTGAAAGGGTAATTTATTAGAATGTTCACTTCAAAATAGTTAAATAGATCAGTAAAAATTTATAATTTAATCGTTTTTTTATGTTTATAATTTTTTACGTTGTGTAACAATGTTTTAAACAGTTACCCGACACTTACAGTAAAAGACAAACTGCTCACACTGACTTGTGATCAGTACTAGCATTTTAAATCTGTTGTTATGATTTTCCTTGAAAGTATTGTACTGCAAGTGCATCTTTCTCTCTCTCTTCTGTTAATTTCCTGAACTTTAATACATAGTTTAATAGACATAAATTTGGGTAACAAATATCACAGACTTTGGCAAATTTAGGGCTTAAAAACTATTAATTGATCATACTTGTAGTAATACTGTAGTAAGTTATAGTTTTGAATATCAACTAGTTAGCATGATCAATATTTTTTACATGGGAAAAAACGCTTTATTTTTAAATTTAACTTTTTGTTAAAATTATATTGCTGTTTAAAATCAGTTAGTCCTTTCTATTAAAAGATTGGTTTTAAAATTATATGTTTCTAAGTCAAGAGTTCATCTTTTTTTAAGCATAGTACAGTACTATTTGTATATCAGAGAATACTGTTTGTTGATTTTATGCTACCTTGTGTTTACTAGATTTACATACAAATAATAATGATAAATTATGATAAAATAAAAAACCTCATGTTTCTTCTGTAAATTGCTTATTTTTTCATTACATTAAAGTTGTGGATCCTATCAAACATTTTCCTACAGTATATATATACTATACTTTTTGGTCTTTGGAACAAATCAACTGTGTAAAAAGAGGGATAGATGTACTCAATGTTTACAGTAAGTAAAATACTGTTTTATTATGTCGATATTTCATACTGTAAGAAATGTGAGGTCAGGGAATTTGGACAAAATTGGTCTGGAAAAGTCATGAAATTCAAAATAAAAATTTGAGTAGGAACCCTGAGCATATCCAGGGAGAACATTGTACAAATATTATACTACTACATTTAACCCAAAAGATTTAAAATAACCAATAATATTAATCTTGTTTAATCTTATTGATTTTCTTAATAATAATGTAATTTAAATTATTTTATGTAATTTAATTTTGACCAATAATCAATGTGAAACAGTTTAAAATTGATTTGATGTTGTGTGATACATGATGTTCTAATTATATTCAAAAAATTGTTCCGTAAGTGACAGCCTGATGGCCTTTGAAAAGAGCCAAAAATGTTAGCTATAGTTACTTCTTCGTGCACACCGGGGTGTATAATAAACAAAAAAAAAAAAAAAAAACGTACTTACTCGTGCCTCTAACCAGTGTGTAGATAGATATACAAAATAAATAATTTTGTAAAAAAACGTTTTCCGAACACCTTCCGTGTCGTCCTTCAGTTAAAACGGCTGGATTCCTTATTCTCAAACACCGCCACGCAATTCTTTAAAAAGAAAAATGCGAACAATGTTTTGTTTGCGTGATATCCATTGTGCATGCGTTGTATCTGTCGTGTTCCCGTCACTCAGCATCGCATTTACTCGTCTCTTACGTGTCTGATGTACCATTTTTATTATGATCTTTACATGTCCTCGTGCATCCTCCTACACCAACCATCCTTAAGTAATCATTACTTAATAAGGCTTGCCAAGCTAATGAAAGAGCCATTTCTTTTCGGGAGTTAATGCACATAGATGTAGTGTGCGCCTTATATATTTCCATCACTCCTAGCCCATTGAGGTGTTCCATGCGTTTTGTTTTGACTATTAATGATGTCCCTGCAAAGTCCACATTGATGCCCAGTTCTGACGCATAAATCGCAAGTGATGTGGTGGCTCTGTTGTATTGTATATCTGCTTTGTGTTCCTTAATAGTCAAAACAAATGCATGGAACACCTCAAATGGCTAGGAATGATGGAAATATATAAGGCGCACACTACATCTACATGCATTAACTCCTGAGAAGAAATGGCTCTTTTGTTAGCTTGGCAAGCCTTATTAAGTAATGATTACTAAGGATGGTTGGTGTAGGAGGATGCACGAGGACATGTAAAGATCAAAATAAAAATGGTACATCAGACACGTAAGAGACGAGTAAATGCGATGCTGAATGACAGGAGCACGACAGATACAACGCATGCGCAATGGATATCGTGCAATCGAAACATCGTTCGAATTTTTCTTTTTAAAGAATTGCATGACGGTGTTTGAGAATAAGGAATCCAGCCGTTTTACCTGAAGAAGGACATGGAAGGTGTTCGGAAAACTTTTTTTACAAAATTATTTATTTTGTATTTCTACACACTGGTTAGAGGCATGAGTAAGTACGTTTTTTGTTAGCTATAGTTTAATTGAAGTGTTTTTTGCTGTTATTAAAGGTATTTTCTGATTTATGTAAGGTTATTGAATATGTTTATATCAATGATTAATCAGTTTCTTCAGTAAAAAATGAATGGGTCTATGATGAATATATATTGTATACATGCACTCTGATATGCACATAGCGAACACTAAATTATAAATTAAATTTATTTATATAGTAAAGAAAATAAAACTTTATAATAGACGANATGTTTATATCAATGATTAATCAGTTTCTTCAGTAAAAAATGAATGGGTCTATGATGAATATATATTGTATACATGCACTCTGATATGCACATAGCGAACACTAAATTATAAATTAAATTTATTTATATAGTAAAGTAAAGAAAATAAAACTTTATAATAGACGAATTTTAAATAAAGTAAATAAATGTATTATCTAATTCAGCATTATCCAAACTATGTTGTGGTATCAGTTTTGAAAAATATGTCTGCAGAAAAGTAAAAATATGAAATAGTAAAAAAATAATATGTATCTGATGTATTTAAAATTACTATATGAAATATCTTATTGCATATTACTGAAAACAGTCATAACCAGTGGTGATATTCGAAATACTTAACAAAGGGTTCGCTAACAGAATATTTTTCCTTAATTTTTTTTTCGCTCAAATGTTGCTAATGCACCATTTGAGCGAAAACTGACCTTAAGATATCCATATAAATAAAAAAGATGTGTTCGCAAAATTAAGTCAGTTAAAATTTAACATTGTTTATGCCAGAACTATATTTTTTTTGATAAATAATAAAAAAGAGTGTTCAAAATGGTTTATTTTGTACATATTTTAATATTTTTCATTCAAAGTATTTTATAAATATAAAAATTGGCTTTTTTTAATCAGAAAAAGTCATAGGGAAAGCAGTTAAACAAGAAAAACTTTTTTAAATCATTTATTTTATTGTTAGGTATTATTATAATAATAGACAGATGTCATCATCTCTCGAAATACAATATCTTTCTTATTTTGCTGTTGATAGCCTGACACGTGTTCCACAGCCATCTTGTATTTTCTCGCAGGCGTGGGATTGTGGGATCTCTCTTATGACTGGATCTAGTTTCGAGAACTCTCTCGAGTAGATCATGATTGAACCTCGTTTTAGTTGAGATTGAAACGGTCGATGGAGGTTGCACTAGGCAAACAGGGTATAAGGCTCTAGTTTAGTAGTGTTACAGAGTATAATACGTATATTTTAATATATTTTGTAAAAGAAACAAAACCACTGAGAAATGTTACGTGTGTTTAACAACGGGTTCGGAAAACTTTGAAAATGTTAACAACAGGTTCGACCGAACCTGTGCGAACCCACTGAATATCACCACTGGTCATAACTGTGAGAAAATGCCAGCTATGATAAAAATTGTCACATAGGTACAACTTACTTATACATTAAAGTTTCAAGAAAAATTAGTAAAAACTACTGATTCCTAGCTGGAAAAATTTAGAAAAAGTAGTTTTCAGTAATTTTTCTCAAGACATACTTTAAAATACTGATCTAGTTTGTTTGAACAGTTTTTAAATATTTAACTGGGAGTAAAAAGAATTTGACTATAAAAATTTTACTTACGATTTTCTTTTGTTTCTATTAAATTAAATAATTTAAACTGAAATGCTGATTTTTCATCACTAGAATGTCCAGGACCAAACACAGGTTTATTCATCATGGCAGCATTATTTTTATCTTCTTTTGGTGGTAAAGAAGGTATTTTTTCTGAATTATTGTACTCCAATTTTTCTGGTGACTTGATTATTTCTTTGCTTATTGAATCAGGAAGTTTAAATATGCTAGTTGAATTCATCTTAGATTTTACACCAAATGCAAATGGTTTTGGTATAGGCTCAGCTTTCTGAAAGGCACTTGTAACAGTAAATGCTGTAGTTGGTACAGAAAATGATATTCCAGAATGAGTGCTTGCAACAACAGGTGCAGTAATTGAATTACTCAAACTTGTAGAAGATTTTAAGATGACTTGTGAAGACTGAGTTGTTACTGCTGAAATTTCAACAAGAACATAAATTTCTTTGCAGAAAAGGGCTGGCAAAATTACAATTTAATAAAAAGTAAAATACATCACAAATGGATACGAGTCCAATTTTGTTTGCCATGTCCAATCACCAGGAACAACTATTTCCATTGCACTCGTATAAAATTGGTCTCGAATCCATTTGTAATGTATTTTACTTTTTATTAAAAAAGAACATAAGTATTAATTAACTATAAAATTTTTTTTATCAAAAACTTAATATTGATAAAAACATTCTTAAAAATTATAATAAATATTTCTTCTGTTTACTATTAGAAATAAATGAGATATTTATATGAATTTTAAGTATTTTTTTTCTATTAATTTAGTAGATTAAATAAATAACTAAAATATTTTAATAAAATTATTATTTTGATTTCCTTTTTTATTAAAATTGACTAGTCTTGTCTTGACTACCTCTTGTGGCAATAAGACCTCCATAAAGTCAAGTCACCAAAAATGACACCAGAGATGAAAACTGTCATATTATGCATGTGATCAATAAAGGAAAACTGTACACAGTTGACTGTATAAGGCAGCATATTTCTATAGAAATTTTTTGAGAACCTGTGATAAGTGCAAAAACAATTTTTGACTGAAATTTTTATATATATGGATAGTATGTAGCATGAGGATATCATGGAATCACAGCAAAGTCAGATAATTTGTGAAAAATGCTCATGAAAAAACTAACAGACACAGAAAATTGCTGCTATTATATATGATCGTGAATTACCATTTTAATCAACATTGTAAATAATTCTATGCATAATGCATTATGTTATTTTAATTCTGTTGTAGTTCAATAAAAAAAGTTTTGTGCAATCTCAAGTTTATTAATTAACAGTACATCTTAAAATTAATGATACTTAAAATTAAAGAAGTGAATGTGTATTATTTATTTAATACATATATGCAGTGGACTCTTACTAACTTTAACTATTAGTAAGTACAGTAACAAACCAAAATCTTGCTGCCAGAAATCCAGCTAATTTTGAATTTGGTAAGCTATATTACAGCCACTATTTGGTTTCTGCAATGCACAACACCAGTTCCCGAATGATTGCTGGCATAAAATGTGTAAATATACAGGTATACCTCGCCTTATGTTGGTAATTGGTTCCAGGAGATGCGACTTAAGTTGAAAAACGACGCAAGTCAAATTTACTTGTCTCCGAATTTACTTGTCACTAGGATAAACCACAAATAACCATTCCCAGTTCTGTATTTTATTTATAAATGCATTTTTAATATGTGGTTAATAAGAATCTACTTTAAGCTTACAAACAAATAAATTTTAGTTTTTAATATAGTACAGAAAAAAGTAATCTAAATTTACGAATTCATGTATATACAGTACATGTAAAAGTACATGTTTACAATTTGGCAATGTTTACAGCACATCACAGACTCTATTTGTGAATGTGGTTTGCTCTAAGACATTATAAAATAAGATGATTTTGTAAGGTTAAATAACAAATACAGTTATTAAAATTATCTTGCGACAGTAGAAAATAAACCAATTTATCTTAAATTTACTAATATCGAGTGGTGCTGACGACGACACCTAACGGTAAATATTGGAGCTACCATGGAAAACACCAATATTGAGCACTTAAAGACCTCTAAATACGACGACAACACAGAAACACAGATGTTTTCATGTTTCGTTCTCTAGGATTTATATTAACATTTACTGTAAATGTACATATTTTAATATGATTTTATGTGCTTTAACACTTTTCTATATTACGACTCCAATATTTGTGGCAGATGGATGTAAAGTTGAATAAAATGACTTAAACTTGATTTTTATTTTTCCATATATTTTTTGACAAACGACGTATAATCAAGAATGGCGTAACTCGAAACGACGTAACTCCAGGTATACCTGTAATTTCCATTGTTTATTTTATATTCTAAGTATATATTTAGCGTGTCCAGAAAACCAGAAAATCTAAAAGACCAGATCACTCTAAACTTGTAGAATATTTGGTTCAGTGTTGTATCACCAATTTTTGATGTCCTAGCAAAATCCCATACTTCACAGTGTGAACAGAAGACTGTGTAACTGTAACTAAGTTACCATCAAATTTCTTTCTAATTCTATCTAGCCTAAAGTTATATTTATGTATTAAATAATATCAATTATCATCAATATTCCTTTTGCTTATCTGCCAGAATTATTATAACTGCTTTCATAAAGTTTCAACAAAATGTGAGAAAATTTGGCTAATTTCTGTATTCAAAATTTCAGGAGATTTAAAAGGTTTTATCTTTCTACATGCATATGTAAGTACTGTGTTCTTATATTGTACAGTTATAATAAAGATTTTTGTTTTTAAAATACCAAAATCAAAACTAATAAGCATTCCTTTAGATATCAGAAAACAAAAGAATTGAAGGTTCTGATGCACTTTCTTATTCTCAATTGGCTGAAAGTACAAGATTCACAAAATTAATCTAGAAAAAAATTGCAGTGTTACAATGTAATGCATAGTTTAATTTTGCCATATCTATGTAAATATGTTTTCTTATAGGCCAAAATTGCATAAAATATGTTAAGATCAACTATCAGTCTATACCAACCGTTATATATAAGCAATCTACTCATATAATATGATACATAGGGCAGTCTAAAATGTATATCAACTTATGCTGACAAGATTCAGAAAACAGATATATCAAAATTATGCAAAAATAAGATGTTATGATTTTAAAACATTAAAATCTGGCTTATATTTCAATAACTATAAAACAAACTAAAAGTGTCAATGCTTAATCAAAATACAAAGCTTTAAAATAGAAAAAAGAATACTTATCACTCAAAGAATTAGGTAAAAAATGTAACAGACAGAATTTATTAAAAGATTTAGATCTGAGGCTACAAGAATATAATTGAATCAGTAAAATTTTTCTTTAAAAACAGTCTTTTTTTCTTTATTATTAAATAAAGAAAAAATGATAAATAATGTTTACAAATTAATTTGTTCATTTATCAAATATATTTGTGATAGAGAACTATTTATACAGATAACATATATCAAATTAAACTTACAGTTTTGCTGTGCCATTGGAAAAGTAGAATTATTATTTTTTATTGTAAAAGGTTTTTGCACAAAATCTGTTTCTTCTTTTGGTTGTACATTCTTCTCAGTCACTTGAGAAATGATCTGATTCACATTTAGTTTGTCATTTGCAGTTTTATTTGAGAGAGTTAAAACAGATTTTTCCTGAAAATTGAAACAAAATTACAAAATGTTACACAAACTGTTTTTATTTGAAATTTTCTTTATTTTATGATACATGCAAAAAATTATTAATAGTCAAATTTTCATTTCATAAAATAATCATTAAACAATAAATATATCAAACATGTATATTCTAATTCAGTCTTTTCCAAACTTTACCAACTAGGATCATAGTTTTCAGTAAATTTTCTTGAGGTTCACCTTAAATTTTTAAGTAAAATGTTAGTTGCGATGGAAATAATTGCACGTATTCATATACATGCAATAATTTCCATCACAACTAACATTTTACTAACTTCTTCACTGTTGCACAAATGAAATATTTTATCTCGATATTAAGTAAATTTTAAAACATCAACTTTATTACTTATTCACTATCCTCATTTTTTTCCACAGAGTAGTACAATAATACCCCGAACTTACGCGATACGTGGGACCAAGCGATAACCGCGTAAGTCGAATTCGCGTAAGTCAAGGTATAATTTCGCAATTTGTGTAAAATCCAAGTCGGATGTATGTAAGCTAATAAATGTTCTCGTTAATCTTCTCTCGTCTTTTGATTCGTTTATGGTTACAAGAAATCACCACACACAGTCTCTCAAGTCTCCGTAGATATAACAAACACAGAAATAAATAACACAAAAGAAATTGTAGCTATGTGTCGATTCTGCGCGACACGTCCGAACATGTAAGTCGAACAATAGCGTGGGTGGAGTGAGTAATTAAGAGTTGCGTGGCGCTCAAACAAAAGATGAATCGACAAGATTTGAAAATCGCGTAACTCCGGGTTCGCGTAAGTCGGGGTAGCGTAAGTCGAGGTATTACTGTATTTCTCTCTCTCACAGATTGACATTGGTTACAGACCAAAGTTTTCATCATTGGTTAATCTAACAATGAATTTTAAATATGCAGTGAGAACTAAAAAGTATATACAAATAAGAGAATAAAAGTAATAACATTCTCTAAATTATCAAACAGAACTTATAAAAGAAAACAAAATTTTTTTAGACTAGATTTTATGTTGAATTAAGTAAAATTATTTAACATAATTTCAAAAGATAACAAATTATTACTAATTTTTTGAATTTAATATTTTATTAAACAGCTAAAGTTTGTATATTCATGCTCTAGCATACATATAATATTTAATTTTATAATTAATTTTATAAAGCTACAAAATGAAAAAAAAAAAAAGTTAAATTGAAACTTAAAGCAAGTATTCCTCAGTTTTCTACATCTATATAAAAATTGGGAAATCTTTTATTTATTCCTTATTCCTTTAAAAGTTCATTTCTGTAAATTTATTGCTAATTCTCAATTGTACTAAATGAATTACTATAACATAACAAAACTCTCAAGATACAAAAGTGAAATTACAGCTAAAAACAGATAACTTACTTTTCCTTGACCTTCACTCAATCAAAAATACAAAATAAATAAATACAGTTTCATATAATTTTATACAAAAAAGAAGTCTGAAATGTATATTTGCTGACCAGCTCATTTAAATTCCTAAGTTTATTAGTTACTAATGTGATAAAACACTATCTAAATATCCTTATGTTTAAGTTTAAATGCAACCATCTTTTTAAGTAAACTTTTTTCTCTCCTTACAAACTTATTTTTTTATAAACAAAAATCAAATATAATAAAATTAAAGTTTAATTTCATAAAATATGAGAAAAGAAGAAATGTTGAGTAAAGGANATCTGTCTGTGCCAAGAGCTTGCAACCAGATGTGATGTGTTGTATAGTTTCTAGCATGATGTGACATTTTCTGCATGTGTTGTATCTTTGAGTATGTGTTTTCTGTAGTTTTTAGTATTTATGACCTGATCCTGTATGGCAATCATGAATCCTTCTGTCTCCCCAAAGAGGAATCCTTGATCTAACCAGCTGTTTGACGCAGTTTTGTCAACAAAATCCTGGGTCACGCCATAAGGATACCTGCCATGGAGTGCCTTTCAAGCCCACGATTGCTTGATGGTGTCTATGCTTTTTGTGTGTTGTGAGTGTAAGTTTAATGGTGTGCTATTTGAGTCTGCTAGAGTTACTGCATTATATAACTGTGATGTTTCTTGTTTCCTGTAGAAAAACTCTCGCAGTGACTGTAGTTATTTGTAGTGAAGGTTAACTATGTCAATCAGACCACGTCCCCCATCTTTACGTGGAAGGGTTAATCTTTCTGTGGCAGATTTAGGGTGATGTTGTTTATGCTTAGTAAGTGTTGTTCTTGTTTTCCTTTGGAGTTGCTCGAGATCTGTGTGAGTCCAATGTATAACTCCAAAAGAGTATTGAGTACTGGGATGACATATGTGTTTATTGCTTTAACTGTGTATTTTGCATTTAATTGTGTTCCGAGGATAGCGTTTAACCTACTTTGGTATTCTTTAATTAATCTTTGCTTTATTTGTGTATGTTCTGTTAGTTTGGCCTGTTGGAATCCTAAATACTTGTAGAACTCGCCCTCTTCCATGGATTCAATAANATTCACACTATTTCTTCAAGAGAAAAACTTTTTGCAACCTTTTTCAAGCTGTACTGTACATTAATATTCAATAATTTGAGTTTCATGAATAAAAATCAAAGATGTAATTTTTTAAATTAAAAAATCTACCCATCACTTGGCAGTTTCATAAGTAATAATAGATTGATTGAATAATAATATTGTTATATGAAAGAATATTAAAAAAATTAAAATAAATATATTAGTAATTATAAATAAGTTTTTCAATTACTTACTGCATTTTGTTTTGTTGTTGGTACAACAACTGGTTCAGTCTTGGTTATTTCTGGAGAAAACACACTTTGTTGTTTATTCTGTGAAACTGATGAAAGACCAATATCAGGCTGTTTTACTTCTGAAATGCTTTTTTCCAAAGATTGTTGAGGAAATTTATTTTCAGTGTGGATTAAGTTTGAAGGTATATAAACTTTCTATAAAAGAAAAGAAATTTATGATCACACATCATAATTTTATAATTATTATGAATACAGATTATGAATTATTCAATAAATTATATTAATTTTACTTTTTATATTTTTAATATTTAATTGCTATATTTCAGATTTTAGATATAAAAAAAGTGAATTATAAAAAAATTACGAGGGCAGTTTTTTCAAGCTCCAATGGTATAAAACAAAGACAAAAATGTAAATAAAAAAATGAATTTATTACCAAAAGTTAGGTTCAAACATGGTTACTTTTCGACATAATCATCGCAAAGATTGAGGCATCTGTCATACCTGTGGACGAGACTTTCCCTCCCCTTGTCATAGAATGTTGCCGCCAGTGAATTGAGATGGCCTTAAGACTTTGTTTTGAAGATCATCATTAGTCTCAAACCTCTGCCCTGCTAACCACATTTTCAGTTCAGGAAAGAGGTGGAAGTCTTCACACATTAAAAAGTTCCAAGTTGGAGAAGTCTGAAAGGTGAAGTCTTCACCACCTTTAAATACCCAGCATATGGCCCCGATTTAGCTCCAAGCAACTTCCACCTCTTTCCTGAACAGAAAAAGTGGCTAGAAGGGCAGAGGTTCAAGACTAATGACAAGCTTCAAAAGCATGTTAGGACCCATCTCAAGTCATTGGTGGCAACATTCTATGACAAGGAGATGGAAAAGCTTGTCCATAGGTATGACAGATGCCTCAATCTTCATGATGATTATGTTGAAAAGTAACCATATTTGTACCTAACTTTTGGTAATAAATTCATTTTGTTATTTACACTTGTCTTTGTTTCATGGACCATCGGAGCTTGAAAAAAATACAGCCTATGTAAATAATTATATATGTTTTCAAAAAATTACTATACTTGTTCAGAGATAGGAGACTTCTGTTCAGATATTGACTTCTTTTTACTAAAATCAGCCATAGCAGCAACCAATTGAGAATGAGATAGATCATCTATAATAGGATATATTTAATTAAATAAATATAATTTATTTCAGAAAATACTTTCTACAATAATACTTACTTATTTTTTTTGCTTTCACACAACTCACTGACCTATTCTTTAACATGTTCATCAATAAAATTTCTTTTTCACGCTTTATACCTTTAATTTTATGAGGAAAGTCATTTTCCACTGACTGAATTTTTGTTAATCTTAATGTTTCTGCCAATTTATTAAGTTCTTCACTGTTAAAATAATTATATATAATATAACAATTAAACAAATTCATAAATTAAACAAAGTTTTTAAATTAAGATCTTTTTACACGCTTTATATATTTTTAAATTAAAAAAATATCAAACTTGGTTATCTAATTTACTGCTGTTAGAACCATGTTTCTTTATTACAGTAGATAAATTATTGTAATTAATTTGGGACTAGTCTGCACTGATAACAATAACTGAGCAATGAAATTATGCAGTATTTAGTCCATGTTTAATGGAAATTCTAGTTTTATTGAATCATAAAATTTAAAAACTTGTCAAAACGATTAAAAAATGTTCAAAACTAAATTTAATAATTAAATTAACTTAAAAGTTTATTAGTTACAATAATAAGAACAGTAGCTCTATTAATTAATTTTAATGTAATTCTTTCTTTCCAAGCAAATATGCCTTTTATCTTTTATTTTGTGTAACTACTGCTGCCTATTTTGTTATACTGTTTTCTTACTTTTAATCAAGACAGGACAACCCATCCTGATTCTATTCTATTCAATTCTGTCACCTACTCTGTACACCATTTATGCAGAATCAATCATGCAAAAGGACTTGAAAAAGTCCAATTTGAAAAACGTTAAAATTGGTATAAAAATCAAAAGGTGGAAACATTAATAATCTTAGATATCCCAATGAAAAAAGCTGGGTTGTACATAAATATAAAAAAGACTAAGGCCATGACAACCATTAATGATGGAATAGTTAGCATAAAGATGAGTAATAAGAAAACTGGAGCCACTCATGATTTCATCTTCTTGGGTTATAAGATTAAGTGCAGTAGAAAACTGCCCTGAAATTAAGCAGAGTCTACTTGGTCAGTGCCTTGCAAGGTTTGGACAAGATCTGAATGAACAGAGACATCAGGTTAACACTAAGTGCAACTAGGTAAAAGTAACAGTTTTCCCATTGCTGTTTATATATGCAAAAACCAGACACTTAAAAAAGCTGATGAGAAAAGTCAATTCACTTGAATTATAATGCTGGCACAGACTTCTCTGTAGCTCATGGACAGTAAGAACTATCAACAGAGAGGTATTGATTACATCAAACAAAAAACATAATTGGAGGCAAAAACTGCAATATAAAGAATATCCTACTTTGCCATATCTTACAATCTAACATGCTGGAAAAAGAGCATTCTAAAGTGAGCCAGTAGTTCACAAGTAACAGGATGATAATAGTTACCAACAAAGTGGATACAGACATGACCAAGACTATGTTGGAAAAGGCTTTACTTGACAGGAATAACTGACATAAGATAATGTGTAGAATGACCGGCTATACTCAACTCAAATATTGAAAAAATTTTTTAATATAAATGAAATCTGAACTTCTTTAATTTAGTAAATCATAACTCTATCAGTTTGAAATTGTTTTGTGTCTAAAAACAGAGTTTACAATAGCTAGAAAGTTCAATCAACAGAATAGAAAACAATTTACAGATGTTTTAATACTGTAAAATTAATTTTTTAAAAGCAAATATGACATATCAAAAAGTCTTTGCAAAAACAGAGCACTATAATATTTGATTCTATAAGAAAATCTATTAATCAGAATTTCTGGTTTAAAATATATATATATATATATATATATATATATATATATATATATTTAAAATATTATAGAATAGGCAATGACTTAGGTGTTTTATCTTTGAGGGGATCCAACTTAAATTGTATATTTTTGAGTAAAAATCTTCAGTATTTCGGCACAGGAACCGTAGTATAAATGGAAGAATATGGTAAAAAAAATTAATATATTTTTTTAAATACAATAAAAAGATCAGGG